TTTCTCTAAAATTTATAAAGTGTGGTATGATTCTAAAATTTTATTAAAATAGCATTGTTGACGATTTACTAGTGGTAAATCAAATTTTGCTATTCCCAAAATATCACGCAACTGATGTTTAGTGTTCCTTTTTTATTTCACGAATATTCTAATATTTTTCATGATTTAATGATTGCATCTTTATTACTTTTGCAATATTTAATACTACTGTCAGGTAAAAACTTTGTGAAAATTAGCAAAATTTTGAAAAATCAGGAAAATAGAGAAATTATTATTCGATTTTTAATGATTGGTGTAAAACGTATAGAAAATCATAAATCTCCATCCTTCAGCATAATTTATTCAAAAATAATCCGAAACTATACGACAATAGAAAGTTAAACAATGATTATTGCTCAATAATTCTTGCATGATAAAAATTGATTTAAATTATTCAATTCGCTAAAATTTCTATTGTGATAATCATTTTAAATTTTTTTTCAAAAGTTCTCATCAACACTGGCTAGGCTCGAGAATTAGGAGAATTCGCTATTCGATATGATTCCAGAAAACAACATTATATATTGTATCGCATCTAATATAGTAAAGTAACTGATTGTATTAGCTGAAAATATTCCTAATTCTCGAGCCTAGCCAATGTTGATGAGGACTCTTGAAAAAAAATTTAAAATGATTATCACAATAGAAATTTTAGTAGTAGAGATACTTGATGTGAATTATTCAATTTTGCTGAAAGTACACCACCAAGCATATAATTAGAAAGTAATTAATCATAAAATATAAACATCATAAAATAAATTTCTTTTTTCAAGGCTTAATTTTATATTCTTAAAGTTTATATTTACATATAAAATTAATTTGAATTTGTTTATATAAATTTATATAAAATTTTTTAATACTGCCAATTAAATAATTTAACAGAAAAGAATAAAATGGCAAATTACGAATATTTTAGAAAATTAAAAATTTTGCAAAATTCGAAAAACACTTAAAAAATTGGAATATGATGATGAAAACAATTTAATTCATCTTTTAGTTCTCAGTTCTCTCTAATTTATTTAATTTAATTTTTTTAGAATTATGTAAAATCATTTTAAAATTTATAAAATTTCGTTTTAATAAGGAAATTAAGATTACACTGTTCTGTGATTTTCTGCCATTTTTCATTTCCAAATATGCCTATGAATGTTTTAAAAAATATATGCAAAAAAAATCTATGTAATAGCGATGAATTTCTGGGTGGATTTAATTAAAAATTCAGTATAAAGTTCAAAGAGCACAATAATAACTCGCATTAATTGCTATGATAGTTTCCGCTGTTGCTCTGGTAAAATTTTAAGCTTCATTCTTAATAATGTATAATATTATTGTAAAGAAAGGATTTGTATATTTTTGACCGATTTATTATTGGTGAACGAAATACTTTTGGTTATTCAAGTTTTATTAAAAGCCAAGAAATATTTCTATTAATCCTCTTTACCCTTAGGCATTTTCACAGTTTAATAACTTTAATTTTTATCGTCTATTTAGGCTACCTTATGTTATGTTGCGCATACTTACGACCCACTTTGCATGCGGATAGGTCACATATGTGGTCATAACATGGTCTACAGAACTGTTGACCAAGTAAACTACACTGAAGACCCATCACGCGGAGTGATATGCATTCAGGAATGCACATGCATTAGTGAACAGTATGAAAGAAAAGATGGACAGTGCATTGAAAAAAACAATATTACGGAACAAAACGAAGCTGAGGTCTGTCATTGAATTTTTGCCAAAATAATTGCTTGAAACCTCCTGTCGCAGTCGCATCGAGATGTTAGTTGAATCAACATTTATGGACATTGCAAGCCATGCGATCACTGTCCACACCTCTTCTTAATGTATTGGGTAGATATCACATGATTGTTGAAGGTCCATCCTCCTTACTTCACCACTTGTTTGATCATTAATCCTGGCTCCAAGCAGAGGTACGGACTATGCCACTGTAATGCTTTGGATAACTTGTAGTGTAGCTACTTCTGAAAGAGCTATATGAATGCCTAGAAGCCAGTAAATAACTGTAGAGCTTTTGAAATAAAGTGTTTACAATATTTCGGTAAACATTATCTATGCTCCTTTAAGTGTGAATAATCGCGATAAGAATAAATTCTATCCAGTGCTTCAACTATTAATAAAATCTGCAAATCCGAAATCTATCTCTACCGAAACATGACATAGTCATAATAGGAGAGAGAGAGGGAAAGGGGGGACTAGCATGTGCGCATAGATCTTAACGCCGCTACGATGACAATACGCAATTGTGGCATCGGAGACCGGTGAACCAATGGGGAATGTCTTTTTCGTCTTGCCGAGGAGCATGAACTTTTCGCTATTTACTTCCGGCATCGTAGAAAACATCTAATCACGTAGATTTCACCGGATAACAACGTTTCAACCAGATTTATTATATATTAGTCGCCATTGGAAAACTTCTTTGACAATTGTTCTTCATGGATCTTGGATGTGACTATATTGGGTGTTATGATGCGGGCTAAGATTCGCCAAATTGATAACTCGCAAAAAGCATCCTCTACGATCCTTCATTTTACAGTGATTTTACATTGATTAGGAGAAAATTTTACATTGATTAGGAGAAAGTGGGCACATTTCAAACAGAATTGTTGAAGCATTTCTATGGTGCAAATATCTATGATTTTTTTGGAAAGGCAAATAAATACTGGTCCAAACCAAAGCAATGTTCCTGAAAGTTAGCCACTATCTCGCTAAGGTGTTCTAGTAGAATAACTATTTGGTACCAGAAGCGACTGTCTGAAAAAGCTACCAAAGCAGGAATGTCAAATAACTCTGATTGTGGGATGCTTTAAAGATTTGCAAAGCACCACGCACTCTATTTAATCTTAGTCTTATCCTTTTTGCTGACAATTATAAGGAAATGAAAATAATGCTAGACCTTCCAGCAACTGCAGCCAGAATCTGATTCAAGGTCAATCTAAAGAAAAGAAAGTCGTCCTATCTTATGTAAAAGCTTATAGAATGCCTTTTTTTTATAAATTGACAACCAATCGAATAGCAAGGCAAAAGATGATATTACAACCTGGTTCAATGGAGCTAAAAATGCCCTGTTTCTTGTCTTAAAGGTTGACTTAACCTTTATCGAGTCATCGTGAGATCACCATAAAAAGGGAGGCCGTGTATATATTTAGCATTCGATCTTGCTATATGATTGCGAGACATGGCCAGTGGGAGCGGGTATTAAAAAGTTATTTGCCTTTAACCACTCATGTCTAGGAATATTTTCCGGGCTCGCCGACAAGATAAAATCTCATATGAACGCATTCATCTTCGTTTTTGTGCCACTTGCATTAGTAGTACATCACAATGCATCGCTTTCGCTATTTAGAACATATTTTTCGCCCACCATAAGAATTGATATAATTTTCGTTATTTGCTGAACCCTGAGATGGATGACATCAAAAGCTAAGTGAACTAATCAAGAACTAAACTGATATAGTAAGGAAAATTTTTGAACTATAGGTGGAACAGGAGTATATGGACTTAGACAATGGAAAAGGAATGGTTTATTACTGTCAACCGGACATTGGACCGCGCATCTTTGAAGCATTTACTCTTCTAACCAGTGAAGCCAGCTTAACCAGTAATAAGGAGGATTGTAGAAAAAGAAATTTTTACCATCAAAAACAATAGAATCAGTGGATTTGAGTAAAAATCGCAAAATTAACTGTGAAAATATGACAATTTATTTGCGAAACTTTGGACGATTCGGTCAAAGAATGTAAGAGTATTATTCGAGTTAATTTTCAGTTTCTTTGCTGAAGTGCCGACACCAAAGGTTTGGTGTAATGAAAAAATCTGTGCACTTGGCGGAATAATTACTGATAGTCTATCCTCATTAACAGATCAAAACGGATCTTAGAAGTCCATTACGATTAAATAATATATCTGAATAGTTAAAGAATTCGAAAAGGATTAGAAGAAGTTCGGTTTTCTCTATTTTTAGTTTGCTACAGTGTTTAACTGCGCAGGAAGAGTGTGCACACTTGATGAAGAAATATTCAATGCCCCATGTTCATTGACTGGTAAAATTTGTGGAACCAATATGGTTTTTAATAATATCGGTAAATTGCTTAAAAAGAATGGCACTGAAGTTTGCGCCCAAAAGTGTACTTGTATGAGTGAAGAATATGTCAAAGCAAATGGTCAATGCATCCTTTCTACGAAAGGAAATGAAACTGCGTCACCAGCTTTTATCCAACGATCTGCAGAAGGAAATGAGTCAGTGATACCAATTTCAACCCAACAATCTACAGAAGGAAATGAGTCACTGACACCAACTTCAACCCAACAATCTGCAGAAGGAAATGAGTCAGTGACACCAACTTCAACCCAAAAATCTGCAGAAGGAAATGAGTCAGTGACACCAACTTCAACCCAAAAATCTGCAGAAAGAAATGAGTCAATGACACCAATTTCAACTCAACGATCTGTCACCGAATCACAACTTCAATCAACCATACGAAAGGTGAAAAATTTACAATTGTATATTTCTCATGAGAATAATATTTATCTTTTATTCCACTGAAATTTATCTTCCTTAGTTTTCTTTCTTAACGCAAAACCAAAATTGAAATATTGGATGAATTTAAGTCCTTTATAAATAAAAAATAATAAAGGTGAACCTATCGAAAATGTTTTCTTATTTATAAATCTTATTTTCTATATAAAGAAATTTTATCAATATTTCGATGGCAATAATTTCCTAATTTCAATATTTATTTAATAAAACATGTAACTTCAGCTTTCTAAGACTCTCTCAAATTGCATTGGACGAACTTGCGAGCAAATTCGCGACCCATTTTGCATGCTAACAGATCTGAAGTGTGGCGATAATATGGTCTATAAAACTATTAAACAATTGATTTACAACGATGGCTCTCCTGAAATATGCATTCAGCAATGCAAATGTATCAGCAAAGAATATATGGAAAAAGGTGGACGATGTATTATGCAAGGAAGATCATACCACTTGAAAGTTAGTTTATAATATTAATAATACAATATTACGTTGTCATTTTCTCGCTAATATCCTTTTATGTTGAAATTCAATTGATATTACTTAAAATGCAGAAAATTGCTCGAAATTTTGGATTCATGTCTAATGTAAAAATAGCGAACGGCTTTTCACCTTATTTAGGAGGAACGCTGGTTAAATGTCGATATTGTCAATTGAACATGGGTGAAGAAGGTGAAGGGTGAAAGTGGTGGTGCTTGACATTAATTATCTTGGATATCCACTATTATTCCAAATAGCCAAACAGAAGACGAATTTATAGTTCGAGTATTAACTAAAAATGGATTATTCCATGCGATATAATCTCTATGGAATCGTAGCGAATTCTGATACGTTGCTGATGTAATAAGCATTGAGATGAGAAGATATGAGAGGATATTAAGAAGCGATCTGTTTTTGGTAATTCATGTTTGAAGGATATTTTATGTTCAATCTGAAAGGATAAAATTCATATTTGATTGCATCTACCTTTTTTCAAATACCATCACAGAGAAGCGCTTATATTCACTGGTACTCATTTGAAGATCGATGTCTTACTGCTTTTTAAGCCCTGTAGATTGGCTTAGTGAGTTGTTAGTCAATTTGGAGCGCCGATGCTGACGTTTGTTTCCGAAGGAGTAAATCTCCAAAAATCTTGATATACTGGCGATTCACCAGTACTTCTATCACCAAGGGATTCTTTGCTATATTTGTCCAGTGCAACAAGCCATTTAACCAGTAATGGTGAGGACTTTTCAAACCTTGTGATGGTGCCAATCGAGAAGTAGACTGATTTTATAATCAAAAGAGATTTTGAATTTGCAAGTTGACCAGTTATCCATGGAATTAGACATTGGTGGAAGGAATTATTGAAGAATCCTTGTCCACCTCGCTAGCGAACAGCTTAATCATTATTAGTGAGAATTACTGGAATAATAATTCGCATAAGATTATGCGTAAAAATGTTCTTTTTGTGGAATTGAGGCTGGAGCGATTGCATGAATCTAATTTGTCATGAAAATCTAAAAAAGAAATATTCTCAAATCACAGAAATCATTCATCAAAATATTTCTCTTTTCAGATTACTCAGTTTATTTTCAGGCCAAAGATCTATATTCATATATACAATACAGAAAAGGACTTTCTCGTTAGTTCGTCCATTTCTTTCTTTGATAATGAATGTAAAGATTGATGTATGTATTATATCAAATAAAATTTGTTTGGTTACGAAATTTTTTAAAATTTTTAAAATACTTCTAAAATAATTTCCTAAGAAAATAAATTCGAATAAATACTAATAAATATTGAATAAAATATTTAAGGAAAAATCATAAAATCAAAGAATAGCGATTCGAATGAATTTTCATTTTTTTATGAAAAAATTATATCAAAGATAACGTTTATTTCATTAATTTTATTCGATGAATATAATTATAAATAAATAAATAAATAGAAACGAAATTATTGATAATAATTCAATTTCAATTCAATATCGTATTTGCCTGGAAAATTTCTATTTTTTTGCTCAAATCATTAAGAAAATTGGTTGAAAATACGAATTATATTATTTATATTATTATATTATATTATATTATATTATTTAAATGACGAGTAAAAGGAGTCGCTCTGTGGATTTAAAAACAGTTTTATGACCGAAATGGGAGGGAATGGGAGAGAGTATAAAAAAGAAGAGATTAAGTGAACAGATGAACAGAATTTTTAGTTTTCTGAAGAAAAAGACAAGAACAAAAAAAAGAATTACAAAAAATAAGAAATATTTATTGTAAATAATCATTTTAAAAAGTCACCAATAAAAAAGTTAAATTTAAAAAAGTGAATGAAATTCAATATTAAGCGAACCTTTTATATTTATAAAAATTCCTAAGATTTTTTAAATTTAAATTAAAATTTCTACTGCAAAATTACTTATAAATTTAACCAGATTTTTATTATATTTTAATGAAATTTCTAACCAAAATTCTTGTTTATTGCTTTTATACGTTAATAGTTAATGGTGGTAATGTGTGCTGTCACCATTAACTATGGGATTAGATTTGTATAACGCAAATTCAACAGAAATTGCATTATGGCGATTAGTATGATGAGGAAGAGTCAGTTCACGAAAACTTTTTTTGGTGATAGTCTTCTGAAAAAGATAGATGCTTAATGCAATAATGCTCTCGACTGTGCTACTATGTCATAAATTAGAAGCACTATTGTCATATTTTTCTTTCTATATTACGCAAATATAATTATAATATTTAATGTTTGCTACGAAGAAGAGGATAGTTTTCAAAAATATTTCTTTTTATTCAGTTTTATTCATATTCAGTTTTCTTCGTTGAACAACAATATCTCCATTCTTATTCTAAACACAGATATTATTAGCATTTAATTCCAACAAGATAAGCTGAAACAAAATGATATGGCGAGATTTTATGCCATCACTTATATAGTATCACTCATTCGATCAGTTTCGTTCTATGCAGCCACTGCTGTCGGAAATTCCGAAATAATTGAAAAAATATCATGAAACTATAAGCTTTTCGATCGTTCGTTTCGTTTCGTCGAGTTTTCCATAGTTTGCTTCATTCATCGAGTCAGTTGCTTTATTGGCCGTAGCAGTTTCATAACAATTGCTACATATCCCAATACTATTCGAGCAAAATATTCTCCCGATTAAATCCCTTTATCCAATGAAATCACACAGAATCGTATGTATAACAAAGTAATCCTCAAAGCAAGAAAAGGTTGCCAATACAGCATGCAGTTATGGTTATACGAAAAAATGTGATCTCTTGACGCATCTTTTAATAAAACATGGAAATTATCAAGTTTTATAAAAAAATAACGAAATATAGGGATTTATGGCCATGCAGCACATATACGCCAACCAGATTTACACATATTCTAGTAACAATCGACAAGTACCTTAAAAACAACACATACATAAATATCTTACTAAAGCTGTCAGAATGACGGTATAAAATTGTGATAAGCATGCCCACAGCACCACTAATTTGGCGCTCAAAAATATTGCGAACCCAGTTATGAGCATAAACTATATTTCAAAATTCCAAAAAAAAGAAGGGGAAAAAGAAAAGAGCAAAAAATATTAAGTAACTCATAAAAAACTAATTTTTTCAAATTAATCGTTCGTTAATCGTTAATCGTTTTTCGGCAATATTTTCAAATAAATTGATTTATTGAAATTAAAAAAAATCAACATTTAATTAATATAGAAATAATAAATGAAATATATTTATATGTCGGTTGCCAAAAGAATTCGCTATGAGGTTAAGCGCGCAGAATGGAAAAAAATGAAAAATGAAGAAACATCATAAAAATTATAATAAAACATAAAATCAATACAAAATGAATTTTTTTTAATATTTATTGACGCATTTATTTAATATTTATAATTATAATTAACATAATTTGTCCTTCTAATTCATTTTCAGTTTTATTTTTTAATTTGTTTTAGCATCTTTTTTACGCCTTTAATATTATTTTTACAAACTTTTTAACCTTTCTAACATTCCCAACAGCTTAGTTCCATTGCATTTCTGTTTTTCTGATAATTTCAACGCTTTTAATTATATTTTTCAAATTTTTCTTCATTTCGCAGTTTCAGTTGTATTTTCTAAAATTTTCTCACTCCTTTTTTGTCAATATTAACAATATCAATATTTTTCCAACTTTTCTAATATTCCAGATAGAATAATTCTATTATTAAAACGACAAAATAGCGACAATAGACTTATGACAATTTTATTAGTTGTCCAGTGCCTTTCAAATTTCTGCATTAATCGGTAAATGCTGTTGTACAAAATTTTTTAAAGCATCTGTGATAAAAATGAATACTTTATGAATAATAATTATTAAACTGTTAAGCATTATAATAGAGAATTTTCTCACCAAAACTGAATGTAGGCGATTTCATTCTTATTAATCATTTTTCATTAACAAATGATAATTTTCTCAATGTTTTATTAAGCAATCTTACGCGAAATTAGGTGATTTCTTTGCCGTTATATTGTATGTAATGGCAATAATCTAAGAGAATTCATTTTTTTGAGTTGGTTTGAGAACTGTAAAACCATTTGTATTTTTTTAGTAATTCATAACTTTTTTCAAATTTCCATTTCTTGGATATCTCATTTGATCATATGATATGATTATGTTATAAGAACTCAAAAACGTAAAAAAATCAGGAATTATAGCTTTATCAGTTGTTATCAGTTCAATGAGATTCGTATCACAAAATCTTTTTATTTTCAGTTTCTTTATTGGGAGATAATAGATTAGATAATAAAATAGAATAGAATAGAATAAAATAGAATAGTGTTGAGTTGCTTTTCTTTTAATTTTTTATGTTTTACTTTTCCTATGAAAAATTTCAAAATCATGCTGCTAATTCTATAATAAGTTTGAACTTGAAAGGCCTAAAATCTTTTCCTTACGTGGATGGTAATGATCATCTTCAAATTCCGACCCACGTTCCTAGTAGAACTCTCTTCTGGGGCGTTTCTAATTTTCTAGAATCTGAAAGAGAAGTAGCTGAGGGACCACGATTGTGCCAATTGTAATTAGAATTATTTAGGTCCTAATTTTCCACATCTACTTTAGTTCTTCTCTCAGACCTTGGTATTTGCATTGGATATAAATATATAAATATATATATATATAAATTTAGTGTAGTGAAAATAGCTAGAAAATCTATCGAAATATTTGATTCAACAATTTGCAGCCAATTCATCAGAAGATGCGTGGACCGAAATAGGCGCAAATTACTTTACTTATGTGATACTTCGCCATACTCGGCAACCCTGAAATAGTAGTGGTCTACTATTTCATGCTAAATGTGCCATAGTCAATTCATTATTATTGATGATGATAACATTGTTTAATCAAAAAGGGACTTTTGAAAATGACTTTAAATGATACAAAACAATGTTTTTTGTATTCGCAAAAAACAGATCCTACAAACACCAATTTATTTTTTTGTCGAATAAAAACCAAAAATTTGAAGCAGTTTGAGGTGCAGCTATAACAATTTCGCAACGAGATTATAGCAGAATTCCGATTTAAAAAATTATTTTATGTGAAAGGTAATTTAACGATTTAAGCAAAATATTATGAGATTTTTAAATATAACATACATGAAAATTTAGTTATTTAGCCGAAATGACTTATGCTTTATGCTTTTGCTGTTTATGCTTTTATTCTCAGACGAATCATCGGTGAAGATTTTTCCTACGGCTGAAAAATTAGAAATTATTTTAAAAGCTAAAAAACATGGTAATCGTCAAGTCTTCTGTTATGATTTCATTAAATCTAAATTCAAAGCCATATTCAGGAATATTATGTACTCGGCAATGAATTGAAACATTCCAAAAATGGCAAAAAAGAATTGAAAAACCTAATCAAGTGGTTCTCGTTCGGATTATCGCCGAAT